TTAGTCTCTGAAGAATCCAAGCTGGGCTCAGCCCCCCCTGCCACCCCTCAAGTGAGCAGGGTTAGGGGTAGTGCGCTTGGATGAAAGACAGCACATCCTCCTTTGATAGCTTCTCTGGATCTTGCCTTTTCTGAGAGTCGTGCACTTTGACACCTTCCCCCCACTCCCAGAAGAGGCGGCTGTAATGGCAGATGCTGTGGGCAGAGAGGAGAGCAAGATTAGTTTAGCAGGGAAGGGGAAGGAAACACAACCATCCTAGCCACAAAGTGCGCCTCGGAGCCAGCTGCCCTTGCAATGGGAGCCACACAGAGAGATTCTGTCTAAGGGGTGCCTTGGAAAAAGACCAGTGCGTTCATTCACCTTACAAACTCTACAGCCCTTAAGGTACAGCAATTTTCAAGCCGAAAAGATTTCCATGGAAACAAACTTGTTAATTCTAGCTTTGTTCAAGATTCAGTTCAGCATTTGCTGGAAGGAGACAGGTCAATGGGGAAAAACCTACCTCCCCCCAAGTTTCTGAGAGGAGGAAACTGTCATTGCAGACAACGGAAAGGCCTTAATGAAGCATTTAGACAGTCTGCCAGCAGTGGCAAGCCGCAATCTAATCACTCACCACAAACCGACTGGTATCAGTAATAGCTGCCCTGTGGAGCTTTGCAAACGAACAGCACTTCAGACGCTGTACAGAAGCGGCTGGGATCATCCCCTCTTTCCCCTCGCACGAAATCACCAAGCTCGTGAAATCACTGAGCTCCACTTGGCTGCTGAGGGTTCTGGTCCTACAACGCCACCTTCTCACTCCATCCATCAAGCACAGCCCTCCCTCACTGCATCAACACAGTCCCAGCCATAATGAAAACAGAGCTGCTAATTACTGCCGACACAGCAGCCTTTAGTTTTGTACAATTACTGACACTTAATATTCATAGCTTATTTAGTGCTCCTGTTCTAACAAAGCAGTACTAGCACGGCAACAAGAGCACATGTCAATGGCTAATTATAGGCACATTAGTACTCACTAACCACAACACAACACATCCCTTCTGGAGGCCCACACAAGCTCCCCACACCTCCTCAGCCATTAGAATCATAGAATCACTTTGGTTGGAAAAGACCTTTAAGATCATCAAGTCCAACTGTTAACCTAACCCTGCCATCCCACCACTAAACCCTGTCCCTAAGCACCTCATCTATCCTTCTTTTAAATCCCTCCAGGGATGGGGACTCGACCACCTCCCTGGGCAGCCCATTCCAGAGCCTGACAGCCCTTTCGGTGAAGAAGTTTTTCCTAATGTCTAACCTTCCTGCAGGTTGACCCTGGCCTACTTCTGAGTACAGAACTAACCCCATCCTGGCACACGGAGGCAAAAAGCATCATGTGCCTCTGCTTTTTAAGCCCGTTCTTCCATTTAGCTGGTTAAGGGAAGCTTAAGCATCCTAAGAGCACTGCTGTAAGGTAGGTAGGGAGATTCAAAGTGAGAAAATCAGGAGCCTTATTTCATACCAAGCTCTCGCTCAGGCGCAGCCCTGGGTAGTGGTGGAGGAGGGCATCTCTTAAGACTACCTGACGGCAGGGTGTGCAGAACATCTCCCTCCACCCATGAGCCTTGAGGTGTCAGGCAGACTCAGGATTACTTAAGATGTGGCCTTAGCTTAGTACTCAATAGGGTTAAAACAGAGTGTTAATGACTACCCAATGACAAGCCACTCCATCCTTTCCCAAGGAGCTGCTACTTCGCTCTCTCACTCCCTCTTTGAACAGCTCCCAGCTACCTATAGCTTATTCCAGAGCCTGGGCTAAATGAACTGGGATTTGCTTTTAAATGAGCAACTTCCAAACAAGCATCTTAAAATACAGAGATGCAGCAAACTCCAGCTGCTGGGCTCAAGTGCCATTTCCTTATGTGCAGGGAGGTTCAGTAACTTGTACTCTGCTGCAGACAGGGGAACAAAGTTGAGAGGTGTGTCTTATTCATAGTAATTAATTGCAAAATCCACGAATCCAGACCGGCAGTTTCCTGAAAGTCTGAGAAGGTGCCAGCTTCTGCAGCACACCCTGGTGACCAAGCTGCGCTTGCACTGCAAACGACTGCAAGAGCATAGCACAACACGCCTGAACTCCCTTCCAAACACACACACAAACACACACACACACAGAAAAACACTCACACCACTATCCTTCCATAGCCTCAGCTCTGGCTTGTACTCACTGAAAGGGTGCAATGGATTCAGAAGGGAGGTCGTATCTCGCTTCCTTTGTCATTTTGTTGAAGAAGAATTTCCTCTTGGAGTTTTTGCTGTATGCCATCGTCCAGGGATCTTGCAGAAGGGTCACAGGGATCAGACAGAAAATGGAAAGGGGAAAAAAAAGCACAGTATAAATACACACATAGTGCAAGCAGCAGGAGAAATCTGCAAGAATAATTCTGATCCTTCTCTTACTCCTTTTTCCTTCCCTCCCCCAAGATGACCTGCTTCCCAAGCTGTTCTCTATTCACTGAGAAAACTCCCTTCTCCCTGCATTTAAAAGTTGGCATTCCAAATAGGATACTTCCACGTACTCTGGAAAATATCTTTGTGACGAAAAATTAGAAACTTATTAAAAAAGAAAGTAATCAGTCATGTAAATAAATGGGGAATCACCCACACATTAGCTATCAACCTGCAACAGAAAAACACCTATCATATAAATACCCTAAACCTTATCCAAATCCAAGCTACCCTCATGACATGCAAAGTTAATCTCTAGCCGTTGGAATACTCCCATTCATTTTTTACCAAGTTGCAACAGGAGTGAGCTTGGTCAATATTATTTACTTGAAAATACAACGAAAAGTTAAATAAGAGCAGGGACTCTCTTCCTACCATTCACAGTCCGTACGAGAAAACTCCCTTCTCCCTGCATTTAAAAGTTGGCATTCCAAATAGGATACTTCCACGTACTCTGGAAAATATCTTTGTGACGAAAAATTAGAAACTTATTAAAAAAGAAAGTAATCAGTCATGTAAATAAATGGAATCACCCACACATTAGCTATCAACCTGCAACAGAAAAACACCTATCATATAAATACCCTAAACCTTATCCAAATCCAAGCTACCCTCATGACATGCAAAGTTAATCTCTAGCCGTTGGAATACTCCCATTCATTTTTTACCAAGTTGCAACAGGAGTGAGCTTGGTCAATATTATTTACTTGAAAATACAACGAAAAGTTAAATAAGAGCAGGGACTCTCTTCCTACCATTCACAGTCCGTACGATGTAGAGTCCTGTGGGCACAAAGTGCCGGTCATCTCGGCCAGTGTAGGATAGCCGGGGTATTCCCCCTGAACTCTTGATGATTTTCATCTCTAACCTAAACGTTAAGAGAAGGCAGTGATGGAGATGCAGTTTCTTCCTTTACCATCTTCTTGCACACAACGTGCCACCTGCACACCCTCTCCAGAGCATCACAGTGAAAACTGCCAGCACCGCACGTGACAGGGAAAAATCATCCCATCCTGGAGAATTCAGTCTCTTGCCTCCCCCACGTGGCTAGAGGAACCAGCCAGAGCTGTCTAGATCAGGTAGCCCTGCAATCGAGTGTTGCAGTGAAGGATCTGTGATGACCTACCACACTTAATCCAAATGGGGTTCCCCATTTCAGGTATGAACTCTTTAATCTTTCAAGCCACTGACACTTCTGGACGCAAGCTCAAGCGCCGTTGCTACTCCCACTGTTGTGAAGCGCAGCGCCCACACCCACAGCATTAGAACTCAGCAGGATGATGCTGAGTCAGCAGCATCTCAGAAACAGCAACCACCACTGCACGAGCTCGTAACAGCTCTTTCTCCAGGACTCGAGCACGGATCAGCACATCCCTTCTTGTGCATTGATGGCTGATACCCTCAGCGGGCCCTGACGTCTCTCATTCATGCCAGTCACTTACCTCACAAAAATCTTCTCCATTTCCTCCAATCTGTACACCTCCTTCACTCTAGGGGGGAAAAGATAAAAATGTGATTTTTTTTTTTTAAAAAAAAAAAAAAAAAAAAGGTAAAAACTGTCCACTTTTTCTGTCCCAGCTCCAGGGATCAGCCAAACAGTTCGTTTTATACAGCATGAGGTGGTCAGGTATGACTGAGGTTCACCCTTCTCCTCAGTCTTCTGCTCCAGTGCCTTATTTCTCCTGGCTTGAGAAAACCTGACACCTGTATGCTCATGGCTGGGTTGCATACCAGTGTCCTCGCTGCTAAGGAAGCTGTGCATTTTTACCTCAGGCCGAGCATACAGAAGAGGAAGAGCAATGAAAGTCGTGTGCTTTTGTTTTCCCATGAGGTAAATTCACCGAGGTCAGCCCCAGGCAGGCTCTGGCCTCAGCACACTGGCCTCGCCGTAAAACTAAACCACCTGATCTTCACTGTTATTATCCTCAGGGACACCACAGACTCATTAGTTACCCTGATGTAAAAAACAGCTTTTTTTTTTTTTTTAAAAAAAAATCAGTAAAGCTTATTTGGAATCATCATTCTTACCGTTACGTCAAACTGCTTTTGGCCTTGCTGTTCTGAGACACAGGGACACTCAGGAAGTTTCAAAAGCGCTGCCTCTGATCAGGCATCCCAGCCACTCGTTTCCCACACACTGCTACAAGCATCAGGCTTCAAAGAGCACAGTTTGAACTCCTCACAGGAACAGCAGAGGACTCCTCTACAACCCATTTCTACAGCTCTCCTCCTCACTTCACCTTCAGCCCTCTCCAACACTTCGAGCTCCTCCAGTTACTGCAATTGTCTGTCTGTCTTGAGTTTAATTGAGATCCCACTCATTATCTTTCATTAAGCCACCAAGCAGAACATCCTATTTCCCTTCCTCCAGCTTCTCTCACAGTATCACAGCACTTGTAGCTTCTGCAACAGCAGCTGTTTGGTCCACAATACCTATCTGATACCCAGTGCAATGATGCTCTCATACTCCACCGTAGCAGAATTAATGAAATGGAAGGTCAGGAGGCAACCAAAGCTGAAGCTCTTCGTCAGGAACTTCCTTGGGATTGTAACTTAAGCCTTCTCCTCAGGTATTTGGAGATTGCAACTGCTGGTCAGCACTTCCATTTATCTGCTAACAGTCAGCATCTCCGTACCGCTGCTGACCCCTCTGGGCAGACAAGGACATAGAAGTCTTTGCAATGATTAAGCTAACTGGATGCTAGACCTACTATGCACATATTTGAAATCAGCACCAGCCAATCCACCTGTTGATTTGAAAACACTGACTGTCTGATATGTGAAAGGAGGGCACAACTTCTCCCCTTATCAACCTTTATCTTCGATATTTAAAGGGCTTTCAGCCTCTTCCCGTTGAACGTAACAGAACTATGAATTTCAGCTTGGAATTTAACTCTCCTTCAGCTCCTTATCTTCATCCTCCAACACACTGAAACCAAAGCACGCCAGGCTGAGGGAAGGAGTCACCACTCACCGGATGGGGTTCATATCCGGCCGGCTGGGTTTAGAAACAGCTTTGACAAACTTCTCCGCCAGCTGAATCCTGAATAAAAATGGAAGGAGTATCCAGCAGTTTAGCGAGATCTTTGAAAAAAACACTGCTAGCCAAACGGGTACTCAGCAACACTTTTTTCACCCTGCCCTCCCAGTTCAGTGCCCAGTGACACTGGCTATTATCTCATTAGGAATGGGTCTCCATAGCTTTCCTCTATAAGCCCGCATGCTGCTGAACACGCCAATGTATCAGCAGGGCAGTAGGACTGGTAGAGACATCATGCCCCTGAGGAAGGAAACCGAGGGGCTTGTTCCTTCTCCCACAGCCAGTTATCAGCTCTGCTCATGCGTATTCCCAGGATGCTCAGTTTACCCAGACTGTGCCTGGCTCACCCCAGACTAAGATAGGAGCTAGACCTGCCCTGGCACACAGAGAAGGTACAGCTGGAAAAGGCTATACGCACTTCACTCCAAAGCAGGTTCATCCACAGTTCATCTATATAGCAGTGTTTCAGCTGAATGCACGTGTGTCCCTGTGCTCAGCATTCTGCTTTTAGCATGAACACTGTTTCCCAGTCGCTCCTACTCGCGTACAAGAAGCAAGCTTCTCCAGATCCTACATACCTCTGGTTGAAATGCTGCTTTCGAACGTCATTGCCATTCAGCACCAAGACGTCAAGGATGTGGATGGCGCTGATTTTTCTCTGGGCTTTCCCCTAGGGAGGGAAATACAGAGACTTACTGCTCAGACTGTTGCTATTTTGGCTTTGATCTATAGCCTGGTTTTTGACAGGCATCATTCTCTTCTAGCAAGAAAGCACCTTTCCAGATATTAGAAGCACACAAATTCCCTGTTGCCCATTGTACAGTAACATGCCATCCTCCAAGAACTGGTGTATCTCAATCAGACAGTTCTGTCTCAGGGGGAGGGAGAGAGGGCAGGACCACAGCTGCCATCACAGGCTCGCTGTGCCTTACCAGGTGCCACAGCTCAGCCCACTACAGCACTCATCTGAGGTGCCAGAGAACAGCCAACCTCCCAGGTAGCAATACCTTACGCTGTGAACATACCACAGGAATCTTTTCCCCAAGGCCTGCAATCACTACTGAGGAGTTATGTACCCAAAGAGCCACAGAACACATTAAGTCACGTTGGCAACGTCACCTCCTGCTGCACATAGGACAGCAGCAGCACTCAGGTCCAAAGTGTTTTCAAAAAAATGTTCAAAGCTCGTATCTCTAGCACTAGACAGAAAGAAGGAACTTAATCCAAAATAGTTTCTCTAAAGATCATATACAAAAAAAATTGCACCTGGCACAGACGGAACATTCATTCTGCAGTATCTTACAGAGAATAGGCGAAACTGCTCATTATATTTGCAGCCACTTGGTAAGGGAGAGAATAGCCTCCTACCTCTCCTTTCAGCTCATGAACAATCTCCACAGAGAGAAGGGTATCTCGTGGCAGCTCAGTTTTCAAATCCAGCTTTGTCCAGCGATCTGACTGGCGACCATCCCAGGTGTAGATCTGTGATTTCTGTGTGTAGAAGGCAAAGTCAGACTCAGCCAAAGCTTCACAAGGGCAGGGGTGGAGGAGAGACCTCTGACTAACTGTAAAGCAGCCCTCAGAGAATCTTTTTGTCCTAGGCTGTCACAAGCAGTTTCTTTGTCAAAAGTTTTACAGAAGAACCTTAATCTCTACAGCAGAGGAACAAAAACACTGATTCTAATCTGCCAGTGACTTTTCATATCCACACAAAGAACCAGAAGTAGAACACCTTTAAAAGGACAGTGAAGATAATTAAAAGACACTAGCAAGAGCACAGGTCTCTGTGTAGGATGCAACTACAAAAACAGGGTTAATTAGTGTGAAAAACAGTGAAGGCAGGTGAAAGAAACATAAAATAACTAGCAGTCTCAGGAACTGCTAATAGGGGTCCTTTCCGGACTTTAAGGACAGGAAAGGATGGGATAAAACTTGCAGTTTAGTAGCAGAATAGTAGCATTGAAATGAATCAGCAAAACTCCCAGACTGTTCTCAGCACTTACCCCTAGCCCCAGGAGGAACTTCTGCTCGCTTCCAGACACCATACACCGGTAATCTAACACTTGGCGGATTCTCTCTAGGGTACTGGAATTCAGAGGAGTGGGTTTGTAACTGAAGGTATCAATGTCCGTGCCCTAAAGAGCAAAGTATGGAAAAGGCAAATTAGACACAGTACATCAACAGGTATGTAAATGCAACTTCTACATGAAAGAATAATCCAGGACTAGCTTCTTCATCTCTTAACTCCCATGGGGAAAAGTTCTGTTTGTATGAAAGGACTCAGAACAAGCTGCTGGGTAAGGTCTCACCTGGATCAGCTCAAAGAACTTGGACTTGGGATCTGAAGATGAAGGAGCAACACGAGCCTGATCAGGAATCTGAAAACAAATCCAAACAATTGACTTGTTATTCTTTGGCATGTTCATAGGAACTTTCTTGGTTTCAAAACGTGACAGAACATCCTGCCCCTTGGGATTCCAGTTGCTGGAGAGGTCTGGCAAATGAAAGGTCTCAGGCGTTTTGCAAATTTAATGTAGGCATACCACATCTCACAGGAAACAACCGGCAACTTCAGGACATTTCAGGCTAAATCTTTGATTTCATGCATGTTTCAATGAAATTCTTTTTTCACCAAAGACACACAATTAGCCTGCGAAACTGACTGCCCTACGTATGGCCCCACTTGCAGTCAAAAGCTCAGGAAAGAGAAACTGTGGACTCATAAAACAAGACCTTTTGGAGAGCTCTGCTGTTCGGGAACTAGGTGCCAAGTTCACTCTCTGTATGATGAAATATTCTCAACTTCAGCTAAGAAGCCTGCTCAGTTAAGCCATACACATAATGAATAAGAAACATCATGTTTGCTTACATAAACAGCTTGAAACAGCCTCTGTCTTTCCCACAAGACAACATCTTAAAGTCCTGTCTCTACTGCAGCTCCATTCTTGTTTCACCACAACAGACACCCTCACAACCTTCCTGCTTGGCAGCTTGCTTACCCCCCATAGCTGAAGACACTCCTTTCGGATTTCAGCCTGCCGTGGCTCAATCAGCGTCCTAGAAAAAGACAGCAGACTTAAGACAGTGAAACCTCCTTGCTCTTGCAGCGTTACATATCCCAGCCCTACAAAACTCACAACTTTCAGTGTCTGGCTTGGGAATGACAATCACTTGCTGCTCCTCAACAGTTACCCACAAGAGGATGCTGCCTTCCCTCCCCACCCTCCACCCATCTCCAATCCCCGTGTTTAGCTTTGTTTCATGGTCTGCACTACTGATTAGCAACCACCACTCCATCCCATGAAAGTACTGCTGGGCATCAATGTTTTCAAGAAGTTATGTGTTAGTATGAACGTACACTAATCCCTAAGAGCTGGGTAAACAAGGGCAAAGAAATTCACTTATAGTAGGTTAATTCAGTCCTCACTGAAAGCCAGAGGAATATACTCACGTGTCTTGAACAAAGGCACGAATTTTGGCTAGCGCCTTTATCTGAACTTTGCAGTGGCTGAAAGAGAGGACAAATTTCAGTCAGGGAACAAGTTAACCACTACCAAGATTGTTCTACTGTTCAAAATAAGGAAGAGTGATGGGACAACAGGAGGAAGCCAGTCTGATCCTCAGAGTAGTGATGGATCATTGCCAACATGATTCAAAGTGACAGCAAGACCACTGGAACGAACTAGGCAGCAGACTCCTTTCCTTTCTACACAGTACTCCGATGCTAAACAGTCACTAAGAGCACATAGCATTTGTCTGCACAGGGTCACTCTGCTCTGCTAAGCCATAGCAGCGTCAACAAGTACCTCCATGAGCACAAGAAGCTACAACTGAAAGCCATGTTGGTTAACCCGCCTACAGCAGCAGCCCTCATTGCCCACAGGCACTCACTTTTCATTGGACTGGACAATGTAATCATAGAAATCCTGGTCGCCTTTGATCACATTCAATGGGACAACAAGATTCACATCCACATCAGAGTTGCGCAGCTGGTTGAGTCTGATGTTCACCATGAAGAGATAGTCCCGCACATCATCAATCCCTAGCTTTAATCCTTTGCATATCACATACCTGCAGAGCAAAGCAGAGAGATCGTGTGGGTTCAGTTCTTCCACACAGCCAACTTTCTTGCTGTGCTCCCGTTATCAGGACAGTTTCCCAAATCCCAGGAAATCTTTCCTCTTGGGTATCATCCCTAGGAAGGTGCAATCTCACCTATCACAAAGTCGTCATACATTTTCTATGCTCTGGAAAGATTGGGAAACTCAATCCTATTGAAAAACCCCACAGATCTCCCTCAAGTAGTAAATGAATTCTGCTAAAATGGACAGGTGCAATGGTAGCACACATATATATGCTCTAGCTTCACTGGAACCATAGTTGTTTCAGGCAAAACAGAATTTTTTTATATATTTAGTTCCACTGCTTTCTCCTCGGAAGGGTAATTTGGCAAGTACCTTCTTTACCTTGTCAATCATCGTAATTTGCTAAGCATCTAAAACGTTTCCTCCTCCAAGACAGCTGCCAACTGAGGCAGGTCACAGAGCTTCCACTAGACTTACCCAAATCCATCTATCACTGTATTTAGAGGACAGGGTTTCTTTAGTAGTTCCTTATGTTCAAGAATCTCACCTCTCTGAGTTAGCAGGGCGGCTTGTCACAGGTTTAAAGATGCACACTCGCTCAAAGCAGCAATACAGCAAATAAACAAGTCCCACACTGAATGGAGTAAACAGGTCAAATGTTTTGCAGACAAAATGTCCTCCTGGAAAAAAAAAAAAAAAGAGAGGAAGCACACTGATAGCAGCACATTGTAAAGAAACAAGGAGGCACCTCAACAACCTTCTCTTCTGCAGAACTGGTAAGAATGGTTTTGTACAATTAAACAGCATCAAAAATGCATCCCTGAAGTGAGCCAATTGGATTTCATGAACTATCTTCCCCATATCTCTGGAGCAAAGAGAAAAGCATTTCCCTGGCCAGGATCAAATCAGTACGCGTGCTGTCTCGCGAGCAAACCTTCTATCCACCCCACATCCTCCTCTTTCAGGCCCAAACTGTGCCCTATGGCATGGCAGCATGCTACGCAAAAGCCTCTATAGAAGAGGAGCTCTGATATGTGCAATAAGAAACCTCAGGCTGGAGGAGAAAACTGACAGATATTACCTAAACAGAATAACTCACCACCTAGAAAGGAAAGAATCTATGTCACCCCTTGCCTTCAAACAAGATTCCAAGTTCCCCAAGCAAAAAGCAGTCAGTCTTGCAGAGCTATTATCTACCCAGACAGGAAAGACTTAAAGAAGGTTGCTCCTTTTACCTATCACATTTGAGACTACTGCTAAGTAGATCATTGCCTCAGGTACTTCTAAAGATAGGGCACAAGATAAATGATAACATAATGAGCTTTTTTGTCTTCTGTGTCAGTGCCAGGTGCTAACTAAACTCAGCAGAAGAGAGGAGCCATCAAAACCAGGTAAGAGCTGTAATGTCCATCGTTTGGCAACAACGAGGTACAGCCAAGACATGTGAGATATCATCTTGTCCTGATCAGAGATGGCAGATTTAAAAGAGAAAAGGCACAAGTTAGAGGAAGGATGAACTGGATAAACACCACACTTCCAACCAACCTACTAGAATACTCAGGAAGCAGCTGGTCCAGCTAGTGTCACAAGACTCAGATATACTGTTCGGTTATCACACTAGTGACCTTATCCCAAGACAGCTACATAACAGAACACATTGTAAGAGCTTTAAACTAATGCATTTTACCTCATGCTTTTAATTCAAGGAAAGATAGACATAGATAATACTATTTTTCTGCCCCAGTTCTCTTAGCTTTGTGACAACCATCTCAGGATGTATGTGTATACCCTCTCAATTCTGTGCAACTTAGCTTCACTGCAGAGCAGGCTTCGTGGCATGTTAATAAAAACTGTGCAGCATCCTTCCACAATGCCACCTGCTGTTTAGAGAAAGAGGAAGAAGATTAATGGAAAAACACATACCTGTTCGGACAATGGACAGTGCTGTAAGGAACTGGCAAAGCATGAGCTGTTTGCTTAGGATTTCTTGCAGATTCTCCTGACCCTCCACTGAGAAACCCTGCAAAGCACATAGCATATGATTAGTATCTCCACAAATCTGTTGTCAAGCAAAGGATTCTGTACAGCTAAATCATGGAATCATGATAATTTCTGTTTCTTTAAGATAAAAACCACCGCCATCAGGAATTTCATAGAATCATAGAATCACTTTGGTTGGAAAAGACCTTTAAGATCATCAAATCCAACCTTTAACCTAACCCTGCCATCCCACCACTAAACCCTGTCCCTAAGCACCTCATCTGCCCTTCTTTTAAACACCTCCAGCGATGAGGGCTCGACCACCTCCCTGGGCAGCCCATTCCAGAGCCTGACAGCCCTTTCGGTGAAGAAACTTTTCCTAATGTCCAACCTAAACCTGCCCTGGCGCAACTTCAGACCATTCCCCCTCGTCCCATCGCCCATTCCCAGGGAGAAGAGGCCAACCCCCCCCGGCTCCCCCCTCCTGTCAGGCAGTTTAGAGGGCGATGAGGGCTCCCCTCAGCCTCCTCCGCTCCAGGCTGAACACCCCCAGCTCCCCCAGCCGCTCCTCGTAAGCCTTGTGCTCCAGACCCCTCCCCAGCTTTGTGGCTCTCCTCTGGACATGCTCCAGCAACGCAACGTCTTTCTTGGAGTGAGGGGCCCAAAAATGGCAAGCCTTGAAGAATTTCACATTGTAACTACGGACACATGTCAAATATCCTGCTATACGCAGACTGAGGTATCAGGTTTGGTCATTAGTGCAGGAAGAAAAAGAAATGGACTAACCCCATCAGCCATTAAGAAATGCACTCCCTTGTGATCAGTATTGTCCAAAACAAAATTCCGGAAAGCAGTAATGTTCTCTGGGCGAGTGATGTCTCCATCTCCATCAATTCCTCCCTCTCCTAAGGGAAAAGAGCAGACAGTTACTAACATGCTTGCAAGTACAGACAAAAGATCAGTATGTGCAGGTGATCTATTGTATTCTATCAACAAACACAACAACACAAACCTTGATAGGCAAATAAGCATTAATACATTCCCTTGTTCACTACGGAAGATGCTTGTTAATTTAGGAAAATTATTCAGATTGCGTAGTTGGGGCTAAACAAAGCCATGTAATAACCATGTTCAAATGATAAGTTGTACATTAGCCTCAGCAAAAGACAAATCATTCACTGCCCTCCCCTGAGATGAGAACTGACTATGTGACAATATTCTCATCCAACTAGGAATGACGCATAGCTGAACCTACTAAAAATGTAAGGTTTGATTTCACTGCACCCATCACCTGTTAATAACGTGTTTTTACAGACAAGGCAAAATTATTTACATTGTGCACTGGCAACATTCTACTAAGAGTCAAATAACTCCAAAGAAACACAATACTCTATTTACAAACACAATGTAATCTAGAATTCAAAAAAAGGCAACCACCCAAAAAACCTGCGAACAAGTTTATAAAGGGAAATAGGGTTTGTGCATGAACATTCATACAGTTTTCCCATACGGCTCTTTTTAAAAAGGGGTACATTGTGCCCCAGGTTGGTGTTTTAGAAAGCTAATCTAAGGTGTATTCTAGAACTCAACAATTCTGACTTTGAGGAAGCCTGAACTTCTACTTGGTATTAGTGCCTATAAATCTTCTACAACTACAGCTCCTATTAACTGAACTGGAGGACTAGAAAGCAGCAGAGATCAGGATGCATGATAGTGCTTTGATAACTAAATTCCTCATCAATCATCCTGTCAGTAAGTGAAGTGATGCTAGAATTTGTTACCATTCTTCACAACTGTCCTGGTTTAACCCCAGCTGGGGGCAACTAAGCACCACACAGCCCCTCCATCACTCTCACTCCCACCCCACCCCCTGGGATGGGGGATGAAGAAAATTAATTCTATCCCAGCCAAAACCAGCACAACACCACAAATATCACGGCAGTCTACTTCCTTCCCATCACTGGAAGAGAGTTTGTACACACCTCACTAGTCTTCATAGCATAACAGAAAGAGATCAGGAAAATGCATCAAAGTCATTGGGGCTATTCATTTCTCCAGCTATCTCCTCCTCTCCTTAAGAACACCAGTTTGCAGTGAGTTATGAAGATCCACATGCTGCAACCCTTAGAACAATGTGTTTACCTGCCTTGCTGCCCCTATCGTGAACCTTCTCTTTAACAGATCTAAAGCTGAAGCGCTAACCATTCTCTACAAGTTCATGGTCAGGTGTCAAAAAGCGGCAGTCAACAAGAGTCAGAGTGGTGGAGAGGAATAGAAAAAGCACGACAATGGAAAGGGAAACCCTCTCTCTACAAGACAGTCACACTCGCGTTTCCTTTATATGGTGTGAAATAAGAAGAAGTACTAGCAATCCTTGTATTCCCCTTCTTATTCCTAGAGGGTATGCAGATAAGAGGGCTGAAACATATGAGAAAACTTAACAAGTTACCATCCACGAGGTGAGACGCAGGAATTGTCTGTGTAACCTGCTTAGTCTGCCTCAAAGCAAGGTAAAACATGTTAGCTTAAACCTCTTTGGATTAAGCAGCTCATTTAGTCACAGTGATTCAGATACAGCCTCTAGCCCAAATCTGTTTTATGTATCTTTGCTAAGAGCCCACAATCCAAAGCAGAGCTAGGGAGGTCTGATATAGAAGCATACTGCCAGTCAGGCAAGTAAGGTTTCTATCTCTGGCTCTGCTAACAGATCTTTGGGCAAGTCAGGGGGCTGGAGCACCTCCCTTGCAAGGACAGGCTGAGAGCACCGAGGTTGTTTAGCCTAGAGAAGAAAAGACTTTATAGCAGCCTTCCAGTACTTAAAGGGGGCCTACAGGAAAGATGGTGAGGGACTCTTTATCAGGGAATGCAGTGATAAGACAAGGGGTAACTGTTTTAAACTGAAAGAGGGTAGATTTAGATTAGATTTTCGAAAGAAATTCTTTACTGTGAGGGTGGTGAGACACTGGAACAGGTTGCCCAGAGAAGTTGCGGATGCCCCTGGAAGAGTTCCAGACCAGATTGGATGGGGCTTTCAGCAACCTGGTCCAGTGGAAAGTGTCCCTGCCCGTGTCAGGGGGGATTGGAACTAGATGATTTTTAAGATCCCTGCCAACCCAAAGTATTCTATGACTCTATGATTAAAGTCATCTCACTCAGTGTGTTTCAGGCTGACATCAGTGAAATGGGAAAAATATCGTCAAGCAATCTTAAAGCACTCTGAAATTTTCAGGTAAGCAAAGCACTCAAGTATCAACTATTAAAATGGGACACACATTCCCAGGACAGACTGGAAAAAAGTACAGAAATGTGACTTGATATGCCAGCTCACCGATCCCAACCCTTTCCTCAGATGACAGCCCCTTTCTACCTTGGTTCCCTATTAGATCCCCATGCTGGTATCAATACCAGCTCTACTCCTGATACAGAGGCTGCAGCGTAAGGAAAAACACCAGGTAACACTCACACATGCACTACTTACCATAATAAGGTTCAAAGAGCTCACTGGAAGCAGAATAGAAGTCCTCTAGTTTAAAATCATTTGGTCCTTTCAAGGTCATGCCAAATCCTTTCGCGTGCCACTTCCGCCTCCACAAGACGTACTCGGAGAAGCCTCCGGGACCAGCACACACGTCAGCAAAGTAGAGCAGCTCTGCATCTCGCTCCTTTATCAAGGGCCTCTGCAAAACGAAACTAAGGAAATTCTACTGACCCAGTAACAGCTCACATCAGTCAAACCAGAGGCGCCACAAACTGCACTACTCATCCAGAGAAGCCTCTTTCCAGCACCTCTTTTCCCAGCTAGTATCCTAAGGATTCTCCTTTCTCCCCACCTTCTCCATTCTCTGAGAAAGCACTACTGTTTGAAAGTTAAATAGAGGCCCTCACCCCATGGAAGTCTTTGGGGTTCGTAAACATGTAGTCAAAGACGTGGTCCATATTTGCCATCTTCATTGCAGCCCTGTGAACACATAAATAGGGACCTCCTAAGTTTCAACCTTGGCTCCCAAGGCTCAAAGCGGACAGAAATGGGAAAGGGGCCACACTACCCAAAGTTCTGCAAACCTGTTCAGGAAGAAAACTCCACGGATCATCTCATAGGGGTTAGATCTTGTTCGGGCTCGACGCATTTCTTCTCCATCCAGCTCATCAAATACACTCTGCGCAAACAGAAACAAAATTGAGCTGGACCTAGCACAGGCTTGAGGGACAGGCAGGCATGAGCATTTCCTAATCTCCTGCTCCTCTCTCCTTAGACAGCAAACTCCGTGCAGGGTTTGGTTCGTCAATATAGCATGTTTTTCCATCACAATGATATTCACTTTTCTTCCAAGCCACCCCAGTTCTCAAGCAAATTTAGCGACTCTGAAGTGATAGCTCCAGAGCCTGACAACGTGGCGAGCCACCTCAAAAGCAGTCACAGCCTATGGTATTTCTCACACACACATATACACACTGACACTCTACTGCAATTTACAAGGGCACGATAAATCCCAGGAGTGAAGATGGAGCACACAAGAAAAGAAAAGAAATGGAGCTTATTTCCTTAGATTATGCAAGTCTTCAGTCTTTCAGTTGAACTAAGAAAGGGAGACTGTTTTCATTAATGTCTTTGAAGGCTGATGCACAAAACAGGTTACTGAAGAGACAGTACCAACCAGGATACACTAGTGGCATGGAGGTGAAAGAGGATGTTCTGAGCTCCTGCCAACCACCTAAGTAAACTACTCAATCCCCTTCAATCATTTATTTCACTTGCTTCCCCAAAACTCCAGTTCCCCTCTAAAGAAAGGGACTCACCTTGCACTGCAGGACATTATGTAAAAGCTCTTCACTACAGAACTCTGTTTCATCTTCAATCACCATCTTCCTCTGAAATAGAAGAAGAACACAGATAACAGCAAACACGGTATCAGTCATTTCAGAATGCAACACGTACCAGTGACGAAGGTTGCCAACCACATACTAGGCTGTATTAGCAAGAGCATAGGCAGCAGGCTGAGGAATTATTCTCCCCTATTCAGCATCTTGAGACCACATGTGGAATACTGCATCCAGTTTAGCACTCCCCAACACAAGACAGACATCCTGGAGCAAGCCCAGCAAAAGGGCCACAAAAAATGCTTATTAGCTATATGGAAATTTTTTTTGCCAACTGGGTTAACAAACACTGAAACAGATGCCCAAACAGGTTGTGAGATTTCCATCCATGGAGATACTCAAAAACTCAACCAAACAAGGCCCTGAGCAAACAGATGTAGTTGGACCTGCTTTAAGCAGGAAGCCACACTAGCAATCTCCAGAGGTCCCCTCCAGCCTAGGTTATTCTATGAGTCTCCGACAAGGCAATTGTTTCATGCTGAGTAGTCTTAAATCTTCTTAGGCTGGTAAGTACTGGGATCTAAAAAAAATACCTTCCCCACAGTCATCCATTCCTTCAGCTCCTGGGCATCAGGGATTTCCGTGGTGCACTCAAGGCACCAGTCCACCTCCTCATAGGCACTGGGCTGCAAACACAAGACATGAGAAGAGTCAAAGACTGTTTTGCTAGCAAAATATAACCACCAATTTCTCCCAAAAATTTGCCTCCTAATCCTAGCATAAGGGGTTATGCCATGACTTTAGGGCCAATCATATCTGTTTTTTTCTCCTAATCTAAACCATGTCTTATTTGTTTGGATTTAAAATAAAATGTTAAAAAAAAAATTAAAAAAATGAAAAAACCACCACCAAAAAAAACCTCACACCACTTTTATCTCATCAGTCTAATGAATAATCAAGACATAAAGCAAAAGCCTAGTACTCTCAAGGTACATTTTAGAGACATTGCAAGAGAGACAGCTGCCAAAAAACCACACTTCCTGATGTTGGAAGAGCGAAGGAGAGCGAAGTACTGTAACATGCACCATACATGACTCAATAAGCATTGCTGCCCTTGACTAACAACGGCTGGGACCTTCTGGCTTACTCTCCAGCTGTCGGATCCCTAGGATTCAGTGTTGTAGTTTGTTTTTTCTTTTAAATACAAACATACAGCGGCTATTTCGCAACAAATGATATCAAAACTGGGCTTTATTTTCCTGACAACATCTATTTCTATTTCCCAATTTCCTTCCCTGTTGAAGAGCTTGACAAGACATAGGGATAGAACATCTGAGCATTTTATTTGGGGCTTTTAAACACACAAAGATTTAAAAAAATAATTACCTATACAGGCATGAAAAATAATATACAAAATAAAAATGGTAAACCCGAAAGAGCTTGATAACAATTTTCAATCACATTCACTACTACAAACTCGGAAACAAATCCTACATAGCACAGCAACAATCCATCTGAAACCAGTTTTGTGCCAGAACATTAATACATGTGACAGAACACAAATTCTGCCATGCTGTTCTGGGACAAAATAAGGCTTAAGTCTACGCAGCAGAGCCACTTGATGGTAGCCAGTTGTATCAGACAACACTAAACATCATTTCCAGAGGGCAAATTCTGAACACAGCAACAGCAAAGGGAAACAGAATAGGAAGTACTTACCTCTGGCTCATCCTGCCAGTCAATATTGAGCTCCCCGTCAAATCCTTTGAGGGTCAGACCAAAGCCTCTCCTTCCCTTCTGATTGGAGGCCTCAACAATATCCTTCCTGCCTTGGCCATATTTTCCCAGACCTTCTCCTTCCCGGAAGCCCATCTTGGCCTATAAAGAAAGCAAAGGGAGCACACTGAGGCAAGTGGACTTGAGTTTATATACTACTACTGAGATCAAAGACTAGCAGGGAAAATGACACATGACCCTGAAGTGACTTGAAGACACTGAGCATTTTTAATCTCAGTTGTGGCTTTCAGGACGTAATACCGAGTTCACTTCACTGAGGCAGGATGCAGAAGAACTAGATCTAAAGAATGATGTTTGAAAAGACAGCAAATTACAAAAGGTTCAGTAGTGCAGGAATGGCCTGCTCAGAGGGAGAGGTAGTGAGGAGCCTGGAGTCATTCATCACCATGTTCAGTAAGCGTGGAAGGTTCCTAAAACAGAAGAGCCCGGCACAGGAGAAAATTCATGTTGTGACGATATTCTTTGCTGTGAATGTGCAGCCACATACATTTCAAGCATCAGTTAAAACCTCACCTAAAATTCAGAGGAGGAATGCGAGACACACTGCTCCTGAAACACATTCCCATCTCTTAGGTTAAAAGAAATATGTTCATTAACTGCTACTTTTTCAGGTTTTTTTCTTCATAAATTTTAGCAAGAAGAGAACAACAACAGAAAGCATGAATGCAGCCAACTTCACTTCCTCCAGTGTGCAACTACAAGACAGTAAGTAAATAAAAGACTTAATCCTTAAGTTTCACTTTGAATGAATAAAGTGTCCATATAGTCCCTCCTGTAAAAGCAACAAAAACATTGTTTATTACCAATCCGTATGAGAAACAACATAAGAATATCAGACAGGTTTTATACAAAGGTACATGGTGTTTTCCCTTTGCTACCTGGCTCTGATCAGACCTTGAAATATGTGCACCAAAGATGACAGCCACTGAGCCTGTAATACAATGGTTTTCTGAGGACAGAATTTTGAACATCTAGTAATCAAGGACAGTTTTCCTTTTACTTACCTAATGCTACCAAATCGTTCAACCAGACTTGACACCACATCAATCTTCATACTCAAATTTATGAGGCGTTACAAACAAGAGCCTCCTGAATTCAGTAGTAAAAGCTCCTGTGTTGTGGCAATTGAAAGCCCACATCCTAATTGGCTCAGGAGAGAAATCTCCAAGTGAAAGATAGTCTTGTACTAAAATCAGCAAACTGCAGCCTAGTGCCAAAAGTGCACGTGAACAGATTCCGAATGATCAGCAAGAGGATTTATCTACAGAGAGGCACAATCAGCAACTCTCAGCCTCTGGATCCCATTGAGTTTTGAATTCAGCAAGAGCTGAACATTCCTTTTTCATGTAGGGGCATGATCCTGGTCAGCAGCGTTCCACCTCCTTGAGAGGCAGCATCTCCCTGTTCCCACCCCTAGTAGCAGCTAGCACTTCCCAGCTTCTAGTAGAAGACTGAACTTCTGACTTGGCAAAGGTAGGTACAAGCAGGCCCACCACCATGGAAAGACTGCTGACCCCTGCTCCTGTGAGTACAGCACCAGCACGGAACAAAAGGAGACCCAAATTCAGTCCCCACTGAGTCCCAAACTTCCTGTCACATTTCAAGTAATACACAACTATACATCTCATCTTCTCCGCTGCCCTTGGAAATAACATTTTTGTTTCTTTGTTATCAAGAATGGAAACTCTTTCAGGATTACGGTGACACCACAGTGACAAAGTTTGCATCAGGAAACGAGTGTAACAGCATGCACCAAAAAAGACTCCTCTTCTCTACAGCCTATTGCTTTTAAACTCAGGAACAAGTTGATGAATTTGGGACTACCATGAGACAGAGACAAAACCATTTTCTTAGAACTTCCTGAAAGTACTTTCTTCCCCACACTCACACTGTGCAATCAAGGGGTTGGCAATCACCTTCAAAGTTTAGTTGTCACAGTCGCTATCGTTCACAACTCCCTGCCTTTCCAAGAAATTTCTGGCCTGACAAAAGCAGAGTGGCACTACTTGAAAGGAAAAGAAATAGCTTGATAATTAAGGTAATAATTCTACAAGGGTATGCCAGCCAGCCTCCAAGACCAAGCAAATTAATGTCAATCACAGAATTTGGTAATGCCTTTCTTACAAGGCATTTGTTAACTCAAGCATTGCAAAATAACACACGACAGGACTCTTTTTCAAGCTCAGTAAGCTGCCAGACTCAGAGATCTTTCCCTTCACATTGGCCTCCCTGCTTCTAGGTCTTGAACATGAATTCATTTTCTTTTTTTAACAGATCCCCTTCAATGAAACTCTCTCAGGCTCCCCCAGTTGCTCTGTAGCTGGCTGAAAGAAGCAAAGACCCCTGCTACAAGGAGGATCAGAATCAAAAACATAGAATCACAGAATCACAGAATCACAGAATCACAGAATCACAGAATCACTTTGATTGGAAAAGACCTTTGAGATCATCAAGTCCAACCGTTAACCTAACCCTGCCATCCCACCACTAAACCATGGCCCTAAGCACCTCATCTACACCTCTTTTAAATCCCTCCAGGGATGGGGACTCGACCACCTCCCTGGGCAGCCCATTCCAGAGCCTGACAACCCTTTCAGTGAAGAAATTTTTCCTAATGTCCAACCTAAACCTGCCCTGGCGCAGCTTCAAACCATTCCCCTCGTCCCATCATCTGTTCCCAGGGAGAAGAGGCCGACCCCCACCTCCCTACAGCCTCCTGTCAGGCAGTTGTAGAGGGCGATCAGGTCTCCCCTCAGCCTCCTCCAGACTAAATAACCCCAGTTCCCTCAGCCGCTCCTCGTGTGACTTGTGCTCCAGACCCCTCACCAGCTTTGTGGCTCTCCTCTGGACATGTTCCAGCAATGCAACATCTTTCTTGTAGTGAGGGGCTGTTTTTTCCACTTTGCTCTCATCAGGTATTAATAGTTTGGTCCAAAACTATTTTGACCTACCATGAGCTTTTGGGAGACACTGTTATACATTGAGTAGCGAGATGAAGTACCCTCCACAAGAGAGTCTTGTTTGAACTCATTGCTGAATACCGGTCTTTTCTCATCGCTCTCACTGTCAGATCCACTGCTGCTACTGGAAGACTCTGAAAACAAAACAAAAAAAGAAGTGAGTATGAAATTAAAATATAAGACAGACATCTGAGTAATCCCATTAAGTGATACAGTGTGACTCATTAAACCCTCTCAACATACATAGAGAGGACATTTCAGTATCTCAGATGTGCTATGGGAAGCACACAGATGCAATATAAAATACAATCAACACCTGGTTGTCTGTCCCTTTGTCTCAGGGTCGCACACAACCTCTCTGAGCCAGTGGATTCCAGGCCTCCCAGAGGGCCGGGCAAACCCCATTGCAGCAGCAGAGCGGGCCACAGCGTGACGACAAGCGTACACTGTGGTGTGCCTGACCTTCGCAATGAACCTAAGGAGCTGAGAAAGTCCAGAGAGGTTCTCTCCCAAGAATAACGACAATTACTGACATCTTGATAAAACACACCAGATTTTTCTCAGTTTCCTACAGGTGTAAATGCATCCCTAACTTAACCAAAAATCCACATCAAGTACACAGGCATCTACCAAATGGCCAACACTGCAGAAAGAAGAGAGCGTTGAATCCCTTAGTTCCCATATTAAACTTCAGTTTGACTCCACTACCCAGCTCAGCAGTGAGGATTCACAAGGTCACTACAGCCAAGGAGAGAGTTTTTCACCTCTAGAGTTTACCGATGCTTACATCCCAATTGAAAGACATCAGAAGACACCAATCTAGTTTAAAAACACCCTGACAGAGACAAAGGTTTGAGGAAGAAGTTAATCAAGTCAACAGTCAAATCAAGGTAATATATACCACCATACGCAGCAGGCACTCAAAATAAACTTTTGTCACCTGAAAGTGACCTGCAGCTGATGCAGCAGAGCCTTCACGGGCACCAAATAATGAAGCTCTGTCTATGCCCAGTTCCACCCTGGGATCTGCTAAGGAAGAACCTAGCCTGGTATGAGCTGTACAATCCTCCCTGCTGCTCTACAGTTGTGAGATGCCCCAACCTATTTGCTCTGGGCTGGATGTAACTGGGGCGTAGCCTGAAGGGCAGCCGTATCCTGGGCTGCATCAAAAGCAGCGTGGCCAGCAGGTTGAGGGAGATGATTCTGTTCCTCTACTCCACTCTGGCGAGACCCCACCTGGAGTACTGCATCCAGCTCTGGAGCCCTCAGCACAGGAAAGATGTGGACCTGTCGGAGCAGGCGCAGAGGAGAAACACAAAAATGATCAGGGGGATGGAGCACCTCTCCTATAAGGACAGGCTGGGAGAGTTAGGGTTTTTCAGTCTGCAGAAGAGAAGGCGTCAGGAAGACGTTATTGCGGCCTTTCATTACTCACGGAGCAGGCGCAGAGGAGAAACACAAAAATGATCAGGGGGATGGAGCACCTCTCCTATAACGACAGGCTGGGAGAGTTAGGGTTGTTCAGTCTGCAGAAGAGAAGGCATCAGGAAGACGTTATTGCGGCCTTTCATTACTCAAAGGCTTAATTTTTTAGCAGGGCCTGTTGTGATAGGACAAGGAGTAATGGTTTTAAACTAAAAGAGGGTAGATTTAGGCTAGCTATAAGGAAGAAATTTTTTACAATGAGGGTGGTGAAACACTGGATCCAGTTGAAGACGTCCCTGCTCGTTGCAGGGGGTTGGACTAGGTGGCCTTTAAAGGTCCCTTCCAATGCAAACCGTTCTGTGATTCTATGACCTGGGCAGGAATCATGGTAGTCATGTAATTTGTCTTACAGACTGCTCCAGACCAGGTGGGTAGTGAGGAAGACCCTACAACCCACAGAATCCTTCCACTTCTCCTGTGGCAATATCACTACAAGCATGAAGCAACAGACCAAATTTCCTTCCTGAAATTTGCCTAGCTCCACATCAATCATACTAAAGTTAATGCTGTGGGACAGGCCATACAAATTATTGGAAGAGCAATCCAGGGCAAGCACAGCCAGGCTCTTCATGGGACCTCTGCTTCTTGAGCCTCCTTTGTCCACCGAGTGCTAGAAATCATTCTGTGCTACCCCATACAAGTAGAAGAAGTTGAACTACATAAGTTGCCTTGAGATAATGCAAAAAATTGTCATTAGCAGTGTTAATCTTTTTCTGTTTATCACATAAAAAGGAAGCATTTAGCTCCACAGAAGCGTTAAAAAAAGACATTATAATTACCTAGAAAGAAGGATTGAACTTCTCTTACGCTTTTCTGATTTAAGAAAAAACACAGATTATTTCTCTCCCAACTCACAGATCTCTGTATTTTCCTGCTACAGAAAACCAAGCATCAATGAAGTAATAGGAAGCAACTGGATAATTGGTAAAGGCAGGCCATTACAAGAAAGTGAAGTGAAAATAAAAGACACCATAGTGAAATATGCTACTGTAGTTAAAACCCTTTTAATGTGTGCTCAAGCCTTGTTGCTGAACTCTCAGCTTTTAAGATTCAGGACTTGTGTCCCCACATAACTGCTATTGCTAGAGTTTTACGGTATCAACCTTTGAGGCTTCCAGCTCCACACAAGGCAGGCTGTGACTTAACTTGTCTTCATAATATTATATACCCATCTTGATTTTCAAACATCTGTCACACAAGCTATGTTTATCTGTCCTTCATAAAGTTCTTAGATAAGAACAGGATCACAAAGGATTTTGCTTTAGGGTCAGTGACTGCTTTCTGCTTCTCCAATACACAGCTTCAATTAACTTTGCTGCCTGCTTTTGAGCTGTGCCTTATTTTCCAGAGGCTCACGATGTGCCTTAAACACAATACCCACTACATAAATCTCAAGAAACTCCCTCCACATCTTTTCTTCGGTTTAACATTTGCTAGCCCGTGCTGAGCTGAGATCAGATCTCAAATCACTTCTCTCCCCCAACCTTCTTTCTTTCATTGCAAACCACAATGGGTGTAATGGACTATTGAACAATTAACCCTATCCAAAATGTTGTCTTTGAACTGTATCAACTTGTTCCTTAAACAAGACTCGCAGCCTATTTTGACCCATATATGAACTCAATAATCAAAAGGGGAAAAAACAGTTTTAAAAATATTGGTTTGAATTTTTTAGCTCAGCTCTGAGTGCGCGCAGGATTCCCGACCCCAGCTCTCACGCCCTGCACCTCTAACCTCCTTGCTCACCTCCAGCCTTGCCAGACAGCTACACACACCATACCCTGCCACTACGACTACTCCCAGACTGACCCGCTCATCTTCCATAGGCATCCCCTTCTCTTTTCACAAGATGAAGGCTTCTTTAGGTGTTCAGGCCCTTTCTCACCAACACTTTATGGCCATGGGAAACCCCAAGACTCAGAAGCAGCAGGCATGACCGTGAGGCAACCTGAAGAACCATCCCGGGAGAGTTTAAAGCACCCTGCAACAGCAATACCAATTGTGTAGGCCACTCACCTCACCTTTGGTATACCCTAAGCTCCAGATTAGAAAGCACTCGCCAACTTGAGAACAAGTAGGCAATCAATTTAGTTAACTGCAAAACAGTTTTTCTTTCTGAAACCAAACACCTGTGAGCTCTCACAACTCCTCCCTCTCCCCAAAAATCCCACTGAGCCAGCAAAAGAGAAGGTGCTACAATGCACGAGTCCCAGTCAACCTGCCCTTGTATTTATCTCCATTCCTCCCATCTGCAAAAGTGTGATAAGATTATTGATTTATTTTTTAAACAATGAGGGACTATGATGTTTCTTTATAGCACAACACCCACAACTCCTCACTACTGAAAGATTCCAAAACAGAAATAACCGCTGAGACTGAAAAGATGAATGTGGCTCACATATTACAAGAGTCTTTACAGCTTTAGACCACGCACTTGTCATCTGCCTCTTTCTATGTCTGAATTCGTACAATTCCCAGACCAAACTGTTTACGTAAGATTTTTAAAAAGCGTAAAAAAATTCATACCAATCCAAGTTTGTGAACAGATATAATGTAGTTTTTCTCCTAAAGAGAGAGTATGCCCTTGAAGTTCTGGCTATCGATTAGGATTTAGATGTGGGTTAAACTCCTAGTTATTATTTTGATTCCCTGCAGCAGCACATACCTTATCTCCAATCTTACCTTGAGTAGTATGATTACTAAACTGCGTTTCATCATCTGAAGTAGAACTGAGGGTTAATCCCAAGTCTTCTATCCTCTTCTGCTTCTTTTGGGGGCTGCTAAACTCAGGTTCCGTCCTTCTCTTCATTTTTGCTGAAAGATGATCACACTTGGTAAATATTAAGCAAATTAACATTCTCCCACATGCTCAAGGGTAAGGTGTAGCAGCATGGCAGCACAGATAATTTTATGGACTGCTCAGTATTATGCTTCTCAATTTAAGTTTGCTCTAGGTAAAAGTATCAGCTTCTTTTGAACCTACCTTTTTAATAGCTAGTCTAACTAAACAAACATGAAGTCTGTGCAGACGCTTCCCTATTACTGATCACTTGAATTTCACATCATTTCTACAACCTACTTACCATTAAACGCTTGTAGATGAAGGCAACCCGTACGTCAGCATTTAGAGAACTTAAATATACAGCAGTTGCTCAGTACTACTTAATCAAAGATTCATTTTATCCAAACGCACCAAAAAAAAGAGGAAATTAGATCAACCTAAAGGAGAAGACGCAAGGTGGAACCTATTTCTCGCAAGAGACTCGGAGCAGCTCTGCAAATATTAATTAAAGAGCTTTAAAAACTTTATTAAATACGTGGGCTCGAGGCGGAGAGCGTTCGGGTTTTTCACCAGGCATCACCAGCAAGAGATCCAAGCTTCTGGATGCGGCCGATAAACGCTAAGGCCTGCGGGGGACAGGAACCAAGGAGCAGGGGCAAACTCAAACTTAAACCAAACCGGCTGGGGCTGGTTTGGGG